TTTGAAGAGGGATGGACTTCAACTCCCAGAAATTCTTGGCTGGCGGGGGAATTCTGGGAGTGGAAGTCCACCCCTCTTCAAAGTTGTCCAAATTGAACAACACTGCCTTATTGTAATATATAAAACATCAAAAAATACTTGTTTTCACTAGCATTCAGGAAGAGCAGAGCGATGAAGTCATAATTACAGATCTAAAATCCCAAGTCCTTTTATTCTCTATCATCCCACGTCTGACCACACAATCAGCTTCCCGCAGTTTGTACGCTTCTGTTTTGACGTCAACTTTCTAACATTACAACGATGTTTGATAAGCCTATAAAAGTCTATTCAGAGCCACAAATTGTTCAGACGTAATGCACCTTTACTACGACGAGATTGAACGTCCAAACAGAAGGTCCAAAGTGTGATTTGAACCCAGCATGCAAACCAAAGAGTCTTGCAAATGTTTGGTTTGGGGTTGGAGGAAAATCAACAGGTTGCTACGATTTGAGATAGTATCAGAGGATGAAGAGAGTCGTTTATGATTCATTCACCTGCTATGTCTGAAAGACACAATTGTGATCTAATCTAGATTGGAATCTAATTGACAGTTTGGAGTTGCATCAGGCATCATTTTCCGATGGAAAACCTACTCAACCAGCTGTTAACCCTTCTTCTGGAAGAGCTTAGCTTAAAATATCTGTTCTGACCCAGCTTCCCAAACACGACAAACCCTCTGGAGTACACTCAAAATATTCCTGCATTAAGAGTGCCAGCAGCACTGGTAAAAAAACGTTTGTCTCTCAGGCTAACAAGTCTACCTGGAAGGTGTCTGCCACATCTATTCATCTCTGCCCGCTGCCTTTGATCCCCAGAGCTAGGGTGGGATTTGCTAGCAGCGGTGGCTCTTCTCTCCCAAGACCAGCCCATAGATTTCCACTGCTCTCCTTTCCTCTGCCTTCTGCACATCCACGCATTGGGCACTGGACCCAGCTGTTCCTCCTCTTCCTCATCAGCCCCCTCCAGATCTGGGGGCTGTTGACTCTCCATCTGAGGGCTGATGGACAGCCCAGGCTCTGCCTCTGTCTCTCTCTTTCTCTGACAACTCCATTCCCTCTTCCCCCTCGGAGCTCTAAGGTTACCTTGATGCTGATCCTGACTCCCACGCCTTCTCCTCCTCCTCTGATTTGGCTGCTGAAGGGGCCGGTGGCCAACAGGCCACAACAATATCCACAAAACAACTTAAATTTGATGCATCCAAGTTGTGTCACAGCTGGAACCTGCTTGTGTAACTGGATGCCAGGAAAGACACCATCGCTGTGTGATGCCCAGGTAACACTGAATGGCCTTGTCAACCATCTTGGAAGCCTTTGGGGTCTCTGTGGTCACCGCCAACTAAATGACAGAATCATGCCACCTTAAAGACTTAAAACAGCGCCCCCCAAAAGAATTTAAACCAAGCTATGGGCCTTTGTGTTGAAAAGTTGCATGATATGAAGGGTGGTGGAAAAAGACGCCGATACGACTGCAGCTTTTTTGTTGTTGAAAGAAATAAAATTATCCTTCAGTTGCGGTGAAGTTGCTTTTTGAAAATTAAGCTGACAAGATTGGGGAAATCCAAGCAACGAGCACCACTGGGCTCCCTGCCATCTCCAAGGATCAACGGCCCAACTGAGGCAAAACCAGCCCCTTCCCTCCAGCATTGAAATCTCCATTTTCTTCCTAGAAGAATCCTTGCTTTTGTGCAAGCGGCTGCAATCCATTTCCAGGCAGATCTTGACTTACAACCGTCCCTATAGTGCCTGTTCGAAGTTACGGTGGGGCTGGGAAAAAGGGGACTCATGAGGGTTTTTCACACAATATTGCAGCATCTGTGCAAGTCACGCGATCAACGTGATCAGATGCGTGGCAATTGGTTCCCATTTATGATGATCGCAGCGTCCCGGGATCTCAGGATTCCCCTTGGGTGACCTTCAGCCCAGCAAAGTGCATGAGGAGACCAGATTCACTTAATAATTGGCTTACAATGCGGGAGGGAGGGAGGGAGGGAAGGAAAGAGGGAGGGAGGAAGAAAAGGAGGGAGGGAAGGAGGAAGAAGAAAGAAAGGATAGAAAAGGAGAGTGGGAGGGAAGGAAGGAAAGTAAGGAAAGACAGAAAAGGAGGGAGAGAGGGAGGAAGGAATGAAGGAGAGGGAGGGAGGAGAGAAAAGGAGGGAGGGAAGGAGGAAGAAGGACAGAAAAGGAGAGAGAGGGGGAGGAAGGAATGAAGAAAAGAGGGAGGGACGAGAGAAAAGGAGGGAGGGAAGGAGGAAGAAGAATGAAAGGACAGAAAAGGAGGGAGGGAGGGAGGAAAGACGAGGGAGGGAGAAAGGGACAGAAAAGGAGGAGGGGGGAAGGAAAGATAAGGGAAGGAGGGAGGAAGGACACAAAAAGAGGGAGGGAGGGAGGGAGGAAGGAAGGAAAGATATAATGGCAGTGATTCATTTAACAAGAAAGTCACAAGAAAGGGCATGAGATGGGGCAAAATTCACTCAACCAACATTTCACTGAGATTCAGAAAATTTGGGCTCAATTGTGATCATAGCTTTCCACTGCTACAAAAAAAAAGCCCAACACACCCCAAATCCACCCTCCGGGCTCCTGAATTGTGAGATTTGGGGCTACGTCCAACCGAGCCGTGTCAGCCCAAAAGAGAAAAACCACTCAGGACTTGCCTCAGAACGATGCCACGGGGTGCAGAGACAGGCATTTCTGCACCCTGCTGCATTGGGGGGGGGGGGGGGNGTCCCTCACGCACTGTCCGACCGGTTGCAGCAGATTTGCCATCTTTCAAGCTGCTGGATATTTTGTGGGGGGGGGGGGCGCTAATCTAAACCACCTGGCCGAGGGTGTTGGGCTTGAGCAGGCTGGCTGCTTGTGAGAAATGGAAGAGGAAGAATGCAAGGGAGGGGGAGCAAAGCCTCCCGGAGAACTTCAGCTCCTTGGCAGGGAAGCCTTGGAGACCTTCCTTGCTTGGATTTCCCCAATCTTGTCAGCTAGCTTTCCAAGAAGCAACCCACTGCAGCTGAAGGATGATTTTATTTCTTTCCCAAAAAAAAGTGCAATGCAATCCTGCGAAACCTCCCATCTGTATCGGCAACTTTTTCCACCACCCTTCAAATAATACAACAGTAATTGGTCTCATTTGTGACAGTGATGAATCTGCATAACAGGCGGGGAGGTTGAACAGCTAGCTTTGTAGTACAGCAAGAACAATCTTGAGCTGAACACACTGAAAACCGTAGAAACGGTGGTGGGTGTTTAGGAGAAACCATCCCATACTTCCACCTCTTACAATACTAGACAACACAGTATCAACAGTAGGGACCTTCCAATTTCTAGGTTCTACCATATCTGAAGACCTAAAATGGACACCTAACATCAAAAAGTCATCAAAAAAGCACAGCAAAGAATGTTTTTTCAGCGTGAACTCAGAAAGTTCAAACTTCCCAAAGCGGCTGATTCTGTTCTACAGAGGAATGATTGAATCTGTCCTCTGCACCCCCAAAACTGTCTGGTTTGGCTCTGCAACCCCACAAGACAGACAGAGACTTTAGAGGATAATCAGAACTGCAGGAAAAACAATTATGGCCAACCTGTCTTCCATTCAGAACCTGGACACTGCACGAGTCAAAAAGAGGGCTGTGAAAATATCTACAGACCCCTTGCATCCTGGACACAAATTGTTTCAACTCTTACCCTCAAAACAATGCTATAGGGCCCTGCACACCAGAACAACTAGACACAAGGACACTTTCCCCCTCTGCTAAACAAATAATTCCCTCAACACTGTCAAATAATTTACCAAGAATGTATTACTATTCTTCTTCTCTTCCTTCCTAGAATCTATCTCTCCCCTCTTATAACTATAACCATGTTGCTTGCATCTTCCAATTTATATTGTTTTCATTTGTTTCCTGGTATGATCTGATAGCTTATTAGTATCCTATGACTATCACTAAGTGTTGTATCTTATGATTCTTGATGAGTGTATTTTACTCTCCTCATGTACCCTGAGAGCATCTGCCCCAAAGACAAATTCCTTGTGTCTCCAATCACACTTGCCTTGGTTTAAATTCTTTTGGGGACACTGTTTTAAGTTCTCTAACATTTAGTTCTGTCATTTAGTTTTGGCCTGTGTGTGTGACTGCGGGGACCCCGATGGGCTCCAAAATGGTTGAAAAGGCCACCCTGAGTTACGAAAGTGACTCGTGATCGGTCCTTGCACTTACAACCATCTGGGTTGCAGTATCCCTGGGTCAGGGGATCTGTATTTGCGACCTTTCTAGCTTTGTTTCCAACGAGCAAAGTCAATGGGATTGTTCGCTTAACGAAGGCGTGATCGACATAACAACTGCAGGGATTCACTTAACAACACTGGCACCAAGGTCGTAAATCAAGCACAATTCCCTTAACATTGTCCAGCAATGGACCGTCTACTCCGAACTGTGGCCTTTAAGTCAAGGACTCTCCGCAATGATTTATTTCCCTGAACCATTTCTGTGAAACTGAGGCCTCTCTACAATCTTCCAACTATCAACAGCACAAATTTCTAATTTCTTCTCTCTTTCCATTGCTCTAGTCTTAAGGTAAAGGCAAAGGTTCCCCTTGCACATATGTGCTAGTTGTTCCCAACTCTAGCGGGTGGTGCTCATCTCTGTTTCAAAGCCGAAGAGCCAGCGCTGTCCGAAGATGTCTCTGTGGTCATGTGGCCGGCATGACTCAACACCGAAGGCTCACGGAACGCTGTTCCCTTCCTACCAAAGGTGGTTCCTATTTTCCACTTGCATTTTTACATGCTTTCAAACTGGTTGGCAGAAGCTGGGACAAGTAATGGGAGCTCACTTCGTTGCGCGGCACTAGGGATTCGAACCACCGAACTGCCGACCTTTCTGATGGACAAGCTCAGCGTCTTAGCTACTGAGCCACCACATCCCTCTAGTTTTAAATACCCCCAAAATGAACATTTAAAACTGCCTTGGCCACCGTTCACTGTTATTTTAAGATCATTCATGGTTAACAATTTCTCCAACATTTTGACTTTCAGATCCGCTCCAAAGATTCATTTGGATTTAATCTCCTTTCTAAAGCTTTTGTTTTTTGTTTTGTTTTTAAAGAAGCTCGATAAAGATCAAATCAGTTCTCTCTCTTGTTTTGCCACTTCTAACGGTGGTGCAGATTTTTGCAACATTCAAAATGCTGAAAATCCCAATCTTGAAAAGCAAGAAATAGAACAGCAAGGAGATGGTTGAGAAGCACATGCAAAGTTTTTGTCTTCTTCTTCCGGTTCTTTGGTTACCTAACAATGTGAAGTTGTTTCTCCTTCTGGTTTCCTTCCCAGACGTTTTACAGAGGCGAATTCTTGAAATTATGAATTTGAAACCCTTTTCTTCACATAATGTTTTTGGGGGGGACGGGGGGGAAATAGACATTTGGTCCAAGACAACTGTTGGCTCACACACACCACCCCCAAAGCTAAGCTTATCACATATAATTCTTGCATAAACTCCCTCTATTTTATGTGTTAATCCCATCATGGTGATCTTGAGGCTTCCCAATAATATTCTCCAGATGAAATTAATACTTAGATTGCTTGATTGGTCAATGAGTGGTGTGGTGGCCTAGAAGCGGAGCTCTCATCTCATACTCAGGAGGCTGTAAGTTCGATCCTAGGTAGAGGCTGATATTTCTCTCTCTGTGCATGCTGAGAATATATCTGCTGGAAAAAAACTCCATACTTGCAACAGGAAGGGCATCCGGCCAATCAAACACTTTGCTAGCTCCATCAGTTGCTCAGACTCCACCCCGCAAAGGATTATGGAGTCATTAAATGATGATGATAATTTGCTCCAATGAGATTCTTGGATAATACTTTTTTCCCCAAGGCAACAAACCTTCTAAAAGCCGCGGGGAAATCTTCAAAAAAGTTTGATACTTTAGAGAGATTTAAATAGCAAACTACGGACGACGGACTTCTTGATTTTTTAAAAAAATGACAGTTAAGTGCTACATAAAGAGGCTGGACCTGACAGGAGACAAATTCAACCTCCAATTTAAAATCTTAGGAGGAGCCTCTCTCCCCGAACCGGTTCTTGGAAGTGTGAAAGACACTTGCGTGGCCCACAATCGAGTCGGCAAGGAAGAAATTGTAACCCTGTGGATGTCTCTGAGATGCCTTCAGCCGGGGGTTGATGAAGTCCATAAACGTGTCTCCAAGAGGTGGACCGATGGTGTAGGTGGACAGGGTAGCCTAGCCCTGACCTTCCAGGAAGCCTAGGACAAGTTCTCCGGATGCGTCAGGTAGGTGTTGTTGTCCTCGCACAAGGCGAGTTGGACGCTGGAGGCGAACCACCGCTTGGCACAGCCCAGCCGGTAGTTGAGCGTGGTCCGGTACAGGTTTTTGGCGTGTTTGGGGAAAATGATGGTTGTGCTTTGATACCGCAGGGGCTTCTGACGCGGCTCAAACAGGAGCTGAGATTTATAGTTGCGCCAAGTGCAGTTGGGGGCCACCGTGACGGACTCTCGGTAGGTGGTGATGGTGGGCGTGGGGTGGTAGAAGATGTCATCCCGGAAGTGTTTCTCTGAGCTGTACTTGATCTCCGAATTGCACCTGGGGGAGGGGACAGAGAGAGTAAGGAGGAGGGGGGTCCTGGTGGATCTAAGCCAGCATCCATCACAGCTAATCATCAACTGCTGGAATATAATGGAATATAGAATAGAATAGAATAGAATAGCTATTGGAATAGAATAAAATAGAGTAGAGTAGAATAGAATAGCTATTAGAGTAGAATAGAGTAGAATAGAGTAGATTAGAGTAGAATAGAGTAGAATAGCTATTGGAATAGAATAGCTATTGGAATAGAATAAAATAGAGTAGAGTAGAATAGCTATTAGAATAGAATAGAATAGCTATTAGAATAGAATAGAATAGCTATTAGAATAGAATAGAATAGCTATTAGAATAGAATAGAATAGCTATTAGAATAGAATAGCTATT